GATAATAGGTATTATAAGGCTGTTTATAGCAAATTCAACATTTTCTAATAATTTGTTGAAAGTTTTTTTCGAAATAGTTTTCAAAACAAACAAAAAAATCTTTAGCTATCTTGAGTACCGCATGAAGTTCACTTATGTTTTCGTTTGTTTAACAATATAGAGGAATTTTGTTAAACCATGTGAGTTGCATGCTAGTAATACTATTGATGGGAGAGATGGATTTATTTTAGATAGGTTAATCAAAACTCATCTGATAGATGAATCGTATTGAACTATTACTATTCATAAAGATAGATTTAAACCAAAATTTTGTTTTCATATGTTCTATAATTCATTCATAAATATTATGTTGAATGTTGTCTTGAGTCCTTTTTCTAATGTAATATAAAATAAATAAAAGCATCAGACTCAATATGTATAAAATTTCTTAAGGATCATTTCTCAATTTAAACTTATCCGATGTCACACTATTTATTGAATAGAATAAAAGCATCTATTTAATGTCACATCAGTCATGATTAGGCATATGGAATATTACACAATCTTGAGTTAAATAACTCTATCGAACAAGGTTTAAATGTTTCAAAAATCGCTGAAATGCTCATAACTCCTGCAGTATTCAAGATAGCTAGAATTTCTATTTTTTTTTTGAAAAGTATTTCAAAAAAATTTTCAACAAATTATTAGAAAAATGTTGAATTTGCTATAAACAGTCTCATAACCCCCATTTATCATCGTATTTTTATTTAACGATGACACAACTTTTGGTAACATCTAAGTTAATAAATAGTTCGTGACCTATGTATGCACATATGTTTTTTTTACTAGTATATTTCTTGTCATAAGACTATTGAAATACATCCGTAAAAAAACTGCATACCTTGTTTTTAATTTAGTTCTTAAAACAGTTCTCTTGAAAATTATTGTGGTTATTATCTAATTCAATTTATTTGAGTCATTGTTACAAGCAATCGAATTTTTTTTTAAATTTTTTGCTTGATTAACAATTGTAATTATTAATAGATAATAATAATAATAAAAAATGGCAAAATGTATCACTTTTATTTTCAATAGTAAAGTAAAATTCATGTACACATTTGAATCATGATTTTGTAAATTGTCTGTCTAATGGTAAAGAGTGCAGATATCAGAGCTAGACGAATGATAACTACTTCAAGTTTGTCTTTAGAAATCAATACAGTAACAACATTCGATAATGTTACAAGTGTGTATTTTTTTAATATAAAAAGCAAGAAATGGTTTAAGAGCAGAAAAATGAACAATATCCATTTTTGTCTCCTCAATTATTTTAAGTTTTTGTACTCCAGAATATTCTTACTTCCTCAGATGTCCTAGATATAATTTAAATTATAATGAGAAACAAAAAATTGTTTTTTTCTATCTATTTTCTCACACTCATTCAATACAGATGAAGAATTACAAATTTAAATAATTTATTTGATCCACTTTTATTCTTAAATGATTTAAATAATAAAACATAACTACGTAGAACAAGAAATAAAATGAAAGAGTTGAAATTACTTGTTATATATATAAGCATGAGATAACGAAAGAATATCAATATGACTAAATCAATAACAAAAACATTCGAAATTTATAAACAATCCGAACGAATAAATTTTAAATTTTATTTTGATAAAGTTCTTTTTTCCAAAGTTGAATGATTTAGTAATGTGTATCTATTTTATAAATGAATAAATCTGATTATATACCACACCTAATAATATCGTCTTCGTTATGATTTTCATTCGTAAGTAAAATAATTTGTTGCAACGTATCGAATGAACTAGTTGAAAAGTTTTTTATTTTTCATTTTTTAATATTGTTGCTCATAAGAACAATAATAATGTTTTGAGAATCTCGTTCATACACTTGTTTTTAAAATTATTCTTAAAAAATTCATTTTCGTTCACAAATTGAATAATAATTGATATTTTACCAATAAAAGTTTTGAAAATGATTTTATTTGGTATTTGTGTCCGTAAATATAGTTGATTCATTATAAGTTTTTGTATTCAATCAGATTATTATAAACAACAAAAAAAAACAATAAAATATTTTATAATTTTATATAATGATATAATCCATCAATTTTAATTTTGTGTTTTTGATATATCACTTGTTCAAAACAGCCTAATATCAGCAAAATAGATGTTTTGGTGTCAGAATGAATTGATCCATGTAAATGTTTTAGAATTCTTTCAAACAATATTAATAATAGATGCTATGTCAAATAATAAAACAATTTATTAAACCAAAGAAAAAGAAATAGCTAAAATATTATTAAAATGGATATTCATCTATTTCTATTTGTCGATATTGTAATAAATCCTCATATTGGTGAAATAATACAATCATAATCATAATAATCCTAATTATAAAAGACATAATAATAATAATAAATTATTTATAAATTAATCAATTTAACACATTCAAATCTAATGATATTACCATTCGATTTGTTTCATAAATAAAAAGATGGAGAAGATCATATTGGTTGAGTAAAGTATATTAATTTGTAGAAAATTTCAAGAGCAATCTTTTCATTAAAAAATAAGCTACTTACCAAATATAATTGAAATTCATGATTACAATTAAGTTTAAATAAATTATTAAGAAAATGTTTTTATCTCTCTCTATTATAATTATTATTATTATGTTCTATTGAAATATCAAATTATAGTTATATTGTTTAGGTATTATAAAAAGATGAAATAATCCAAAGGAGGGAATTCTTCAAATGATAATTGTAAATTATTTTCAATTAACCATATCTAATAATGTATTTAATTGATTATTAAAATAATATTCACAGTAAATATATATAATTTTAATTTCTTTTGAATCATGATAAAATTGATGATTAATTCAAATAAATTAAATAATGTTGTTTGTGTCCATTAATTAATTAAACATTGAATATAGTTTTTCGATTTGAATAAATTTCAAAAAAGAAAATTCCATGATCTATCTATCTTTTTATTTTCTGTAATAGATACTAAATATTTCTTTGTAATTCTTAATAATTTTATAATAACATTCCTTGATTAAAACATTTCCCAATTTTTTTTTAATGTATCATTTGATGTCGAAGATGAACAAAAAACTAAACAAATCAAATAATATTGATGAATAATAAGATATTAACATTTTTGTATATTTTGTTTGTTTTAATTGAAGTAATATATGAATTAAATTTGTATAATTTGTTATTATTCGTTATTGTAAATCAATAAAACAATGTTGAATTATTCATATTCGATAATAATCTTTAAAATGGATATAGATGATGGATTTTTAACAGTTGTTTTGTTAAATGGATACTATTTTCAAATAAATCTATAAGCAACATATCCATACATGTAAGAAGTCATATGTATTTATCGAATAACTCTCTTCGATATGTAATAATAAATGCGACAACAAAATCAATTGCTTTGTTGATATTAAATATGAATGAACAATACATTCATAAATAATATCCATTAGAATTTTATCATTTGCAATAGATATAATTCATTTATGTTGTCGATATTATTCAAATAGTATCTTTGAGTCATTTTAATGTTTGTTTACATGATTCTAATTTGTAGTTGTTATTGACGAAATTTGATAAATAATTTTGATCTGAATCATTTTATTCTTTTGCTTCCAAAAAAAAAATAAAATAAACATTTAAATGTGGACAAAACTTTTTTTTTTGTATTTGTATGATAATTTCTCACTGAACAATATATGTCACTACTACTACTTACAAAACTTTGAGAATAAATTGAATAAATAAGATCATCTAAATATTTATCATATAAGATAATTTTTTGTTTTTTTGAAATTGGATAAATTCTATGATAAATCTTCAGTGAAGAATTCATTCTCAATCATTTGAAAAATATCGATGATATAAATCATTGTGCTGATGAATGTACTCTAAATAAAACATTGATTTGTAATAGAATAATTCGTTATTTTTCTGTAATAATAAATACAACAAACTATCTGTAAAACAAAACAAAAAGATGCAAATTTACTTATTGATATTCGATTTTTCTATCAAATTTATTATTTATTAAATAAGGTTTTTTCAACTGTTTTTAGTTGTATTATGGTTTTACGATCACATTCCATAAAATGACACTTAATTGTGATCTTGACAATTCTAATCTCTCATCCTCTCTTACGAAAAATAAAATGTGAGAGAAAAAGAAATAAAACAACGACGACGACCGGACGATTTATTTTTTCTCGTCCATAATTATTATGATCTAATTATTATTGAACGAGAGAAAAAATGTATTGAAATGTCTATAAAAATGAATGATTTTCGATTAAAATATCATTCAATTATTTGAATCATATTATAGCCTTTTTTCTTTTATATTTAAGGTTAATTCTCAAAGACTCAAAATTAATCAATTCGATATCAATACAATACAATCAAAACTAAAAATGTAGGTATTAGTTTTCAATTTTTCTTTTTTCCTTTTTTCTTAAAGATCATTTCGAAGGTAGTAAGACTTCGATTGATCTTTTTATATTTTAGGTATTGGTCTCAACAACTCAAAATTAATTCAAGTCAATATGAAAACAATAAAATAAAATGTATGTATCCTTTTTCACTGTTTCTCTTTCTACATGTATTAATTTTCTTTTTTTTTCGTTTCAGCCATCAACATCGTCAAGGAAGGGTGAGTGATTATTTATTTATTTTTCTCTTCTTATTGAGTTTGAGTTGAGGTCTCGTACTATATCAGGTCTTCCGGATAGACCCTAAACACCGGCCAGGAACTGTCTTGGTGTCTGTGGCAACACGGTCGGGTCCCAGGCTCACTGACATATGTCACCGGATGGGTGCATGTGGATGATGTGAGTTTTCCCGCGCGTGTACGAGCTTTACGCTCGCCACAGCGCCACCAGGCTGGTTCCTGGTCGCGCGCGCGCGAATAGAAAATAAAAAATTTTTTTTTCGGTTCGAATGCAATTTATTGAATTGAAAAAAATTGAACACGATTATTTCCATCCCAACCACCATCGACGACATAGAGATTTCCATGTCGATCGAAGGACAAACCACGGAGATTTTTGAATTGATTTGCTCCTGCTCCTTCACCATTTCCACCCACAATGACAGTACCCTGTTTTGCTCCTTTAGGCCAACGCATTACTCGATGATTCGACGAATCTGCCACATAGAGGGTACCCAATGTATCGACGAAGAGTCCGTTAGGATGAGACAATTGTGTCAGAGCCTTCCCTTGACCTTGACCTCCGGCGACGACAACACCTTCTTTTGCATCTTTATTCCATTTCATCACACGATGATTGTGGTTGTCTGACACGTAGACAGTCTGTTGTTGATCGACAAAAATGTAGGTGGGCCAGTCGAGTTGATTGAGACCAGCACCTTTGCCATTTCCACCAGCCACGATAATTCCATTCTTGTCTCCTATTTGATATCGTCTGACTTCATGTTTTTTGTAGTCAGAGACGTAGATATATCTCTGACTATCCATAAACAATCCATAACAATCGATGTTGTCAATGAGGATTTCTCCTTGAGTTGTGCCACGACGACGAGACGATCGTACGACTCGTCTATTCCCGTAATCGCAAATAATGAGACTATCAGTCTCTTTGTCGATTAGCACATCGGTTGGCGCATTCAATTGATCCAATCGATTTCCTTCGCCCTTGCCACCAGCTACAATTTGTCCATTCGTATCACCCATCTTCCATTGGGCGATACGATGATTCTCGAGATCAGCAATGGTCATCGTTCGATTATCATCAACGAAGACACCTCGAGGCATGTAGAGTTGATTAGTGGCGTCACCGGCTCCATTACCTCCAGCAACGATCGTTCCATTCTGTGACCATCGAGCATCGATTGGAATATTGGGAATGACTACAATGAACAAAGAAAATGAATCTTCATTGTCGACGAGATTTTTGTTGCTCATACAAGAGAAAATACTTTTGGTAACTTAGTCTTTAAGCAAAGAACTTTGTAAGAGTTCTTTTGTGTCGATAATTATTTCTACTATCTGAAATGTTAAGCTTTTCAAAATTCTAAGGAGATTTCCATGAACGAGTTCATAAGTGTAAAGAAAACAAAATTTTGCAAACATGAAAAGAAAGAGAAAAAAGACAATGAATAGTTCTTTTTGTAGAGCTTGAAGTGTTCTTTCAAATGATAAGTCTTTCTTGTTTCTCTCTTTGTCTTCTCATGCTCATCAATTTTTTGTGTTCTTTCAAAATTTCAGCAATCTTTTTCTTTCTATATCATTTCCAAGGGGCATTGAAAAAAAACATTGTATGAAACATAATGCTCACTTCTTTTCTACATCTACTCCGGTATAGCTTGACAAAAAGTTTTATGGGGTCGAGGAATCGATTGGTACCATTGGTTTTTGAAAAATTTTAGATAGATGTTTTAGCGAAAAAAGGCTTGCTTTAGCTCAAAGAAAAACTGTGCTTCAAACTACGTAAACTAAAAATTAGGAGCTCATTTTAGGAACCACCTCGGATGGCAGTAGCATCACCTGGGATGGTGCTAGCATCAATTGGTATGCTAGGAGCATCAACTGGGATGTTGATAGCATCTTAGGTGATGCTACTAGCATCTCAATGGAAGCCCTGAGATCCCAGGTTATATATCTAGTGAACATTAGTTATAACTCCCGAGCTAGTATCTCAGTGGAATGCGATCTTACTGCGATAAACCAGAAAACATGGATAGTGTTTTATTGGGAAATGGTCGATGGGTAAGTGAGCTCCATGTTTGGAGTATACATGAGGAGCTCACTTTTTTGAATCCTTTTTCGAGGAAAACAACGATGTCTTGTCAACTTTGACTAAAGGTTTTCGGCGTCAAGAAATCGATTGGTGGCATTGGTTTTTGGAAAATTTTCGAAAGGATTTTTTTCACTGAGGAAATGATTTTTTAAGAAAATCATGGTTTTTCATAAAGTTTGACTTATCGTGCTTGACAGTTGAGAACTCGGGTCTGTCAATGATTCCTGAAGATCAGTGAATTCGAGGATCACAATGTGGAATATCATTTCGGTCGATAATGTATCACAGAGTGCACCAAATACTCCTTCTTACTTCAGAATCGAGCTGATTAAGGTTCGGAGAATGGCTGTCTTATTTTCTGACAAGCGTTTTTCAACGTCATTCAGGTTTCAAATCGTTGTTTTTTTTATGGTGTTTGTTTGAGATTATCGAGGAGACCAACACGATGATCAGTTATATGAATTTAAAAGCTATGCTGTGTAAACGTATATTTTTTTGTTCCCTCGATTGTAGGGAGGATGGTGTGAAAAGAATTGAAAAAAGTTTGTCTGTCGGTCTGTTTGTGACAGGATCAAAAAAAACATCAAAGGTGAATTTCTTTTCATAACGGTCGACGAACGTCGATTTCTCATAATTTTGAGTTGAATTTTTTGAGTTCAGAAAAGGTTTTTTTTTTGAGAAATTAACGATATTTCCTTGACTTAAGGAAGGATCATATGAAATAAAATAAGTTTCTATGTGTCAGGGTTAAGAGAACGTCGGAGTCAAAAAAACATCGACCAAAAGATTTATGGTCGATTTGAGAGGAGAAACAAATATGCTCGGACTACGTTGTAAGAGAATTAGTGCATGAGTTTAATTCAATCATGACAATGCACTGCGAGATGTTTGATTAAGTAAAACTCTTTTACACAATAGTCGTCACTGAAAATACTATAGATAGTTTTTCGTCTGTGCATGTGTATTGCACAATAATTGTTAAGGCAGAACAGAGAAAATGATAACAAGGTTGAATTCAGTCGAAGGTTAAGGCAGTCCTGCCGACGAAGGTTATTTTTTTCATATCTTGATAAGAAACTAGATGAATTTTGAGAAATGAAGGAAAAAATCTTTGTTTTCTCTGTATACTGTCTTTGTTTTCTCCTCAAACAATTGATGTAAAAAATTGAAGTATTTATTCTGATTGAGTAGCTTGTAGTCATGTAATTATCGTAATCTTTGCCCATTAATATTTGACTGAATAAAGTAATAATTCTTGATTTTATTGATAAATAAGTTGTCTAAAATTCCAGTAGGAAAATCTGTTTTTCTCCCACTATTCGAAATAGTTTCATACTATATTTTATGTAACATTATTTTTCTCGTCAAGATATGAAATAAATCAAAAGAAAACAGTTAGATAGACTAATCCATGCTCTATCAAATTATATAGAAATAAAACATTCTTGAAGTGTTTGGCGGACAATAAGTTGATAGAAGGAACTTCTTCTTTGAAACAAATATAAAGTAGCTTTATTACGTTGAGTTCAGTGAATCAGTGCTGATCTTTGCGTTGTCAACAGTGTATTTCTGGTGAAGTATTTTATATCTCCACGAAAAAAAGAATAAAGTGTTGGAAAACTATTACTGTGTATTACAAAAGTTGCAATTCACTCGCATATATGTGCATCTACTTGTTTCTTTTCTGTTTAATAAATGAGAAAAGTATTATGAACTTCGTTCATTTCTTTGCCGATTTGCTTATCCTTATACAGGATGTTTCCAAAAGTTCGCTCGAAAAAGAAACGTGATTATCTCTTTAACTCTTCAAGCGATTTCCTTGAGGTTTTTCTAGTTTCATTTCAAAAACTTCCCATTTGCAACATATCTGTAAAAACATTACGCAAATTTTTTTTTTAAATTTTTTTTGACCTTATTATGGATTTTCGTATCCAACTTAATGAGATCTTTAACCGATGTCTTGCAAAAATGTTTCTAAGAATAATCATCGAGTCACATTAGGTTAACTGACCTATTGCACTTGTTTGGAGAGATGTTCTTTAAAAATTACAGACTTCACGGCTAAAATGTGGAAGACTTTCATCTTGGTAAAATACTATAGAGTTCATCTAGCATAATGTTCGTAATTCTAGAATAGAAGATAGTCTAAACGCATTATAAAAATTTTTTTTTTCGTTGAAAATGTTACCGCCAATTGTCCCAACAGTCGATTTCCTAACATTGTAACGTAAATGTCGTCTTTCAAAGATTGCATAACAATATCAATAGTTCTATGTGAATTTTTTTCACTCTACTATGTCGCTATATTTTAACATGCTCTTAACGGTTGTTATAGAAATTTTTAAAATAAAAATTTATGTAATGTTCTTACAGCTTTGTTGCAAAGGGATGTTTGAGTATTGCATTTGTAAGCAATCATTTTGTATATTTGTTATAGAGAAATTTATATGAAATAAAACTTTAATGAATATGAAATGAAACTATAAAAACATCAAGTAAATCGCTTGAACAGTTAAAGAAATAATCACGTTTCTCCTTCGAGTGGACTTTTGGAACATCTTGTATAAGTAGTTTGAATTTTTTAAATTAGAGGATTCTTAGAAAACAATTAGTGAACTTTTTCAATTATAGACTATGCTGAACACAACTTTTTACTGAGCAATCAAATACCGGTCATTAGAAATGACTGACTGCTCAGTAAGAAAGCTCTTCAAACATAGATTATTGATAGCTCAAGAAAAGCGCAGAATGATATGTTTAGAAACATACTTCTCATCTCGTTTTTACACACTACATTTTAATGTCGTTCAGAGATGTGCTTTTCACTCCGGCAAGGTTTGATTAAAAAGAATTCGGAGTACACCGTTCAAAAGCTCTTTCAATGTGGATTGTGAATAGGTATTCTTTATTATTGTAAAAACCGTTTTACTAGACGAAAAATCGAGAGAGACTTTAAGAGTGTTACGAATATGATATGACTCATTCTATGACTAAATCTCAGTGAACATTTCTGAGTATTGATTCTTCTAGCAATGCCTTCTCATCAGCGGAACACCTCATAAATTAATCATAAATCCAAAACGGAGATCACCTGTCGAGAGGGAACATGTTGAACCTGTTTTAAGTCTCAATTGGTCCTACTGATCGGTAAAATATCACTTCGATAGACGAATGGATCAACTTTGTGAGAATACTCTATCGAGATCGTGCTATACTTCGTATGTCAGTACTCATGAGGCATCGATTAGAATATTGAAAATAACTACAATGAACAAAGTACTTTCCGTAACTTAGTCTTTAAGAAAAGGATTGTGTAAGAATTCCTTTGTGTCGACAACTATTTCTAATGTCTGAAATGTTAAGCTTTCAAAGAGAAAACTGCTGAACATGAGATTTTAAGGAGATTTCCATGTTCTACTGAAACTCATTGTCTCTCTCTCTCGATTATGACATCTTTTTTAATGTTGTAAAACATATTTAAACGTCTTACTGTCATGCAAATTCACTTTGTGGGTGTGATTTCTTTCTGTAAATTACGTTTTAAATTATTTAGAAGAAAACAGCTTATTTGTCTCTTCAGTGAAATCAAGGAAAACTTTAACCACTTTATCTCGTATTTATGCTTGAGAAGGTTAAAGTTTGTTTTTGTCTTTCATTACTCACAAAACTTGTCGAATACGATTCAGGTGAGAATGAAAAACAAAAAAATCTCATTCAATGTTTTTGATTTGAGTTTTAGAATCAGAAGTACATATTATTGTCATCTTTCTATTGTCAAAACAGCCTATTATCGTGGAAGTTATAGTACTACTACAAAATTATGGAACTCAAAAAGATTGAACTGTTTGAATGGTATAGAATAGTAGAAAAAAAGAGGTTTTGTGATAGACCATGCAAAGTCAAAAAGATATTATCTATTTCAATCGATTTCTATTACCTCCTGTTTTCTGAATGAAGAAAAGATATTCAACAAACCTTTTTTACAGACTACAATTTTTAAATCTTTGAAAGATGTATTTGTTACTTAAAGGCAAAGCTTAATAGAAAAAAGAATTTGGATTATACCATTAAAAAAGTACTTTTGAACTGAGTTGATAAATCGAATCCTTTTTTTAAGTTTTTATTAGTCGCCGAATTCATCAACTTTGTGAGAATACTCTATCGA